GGCTGATCACTCATCCAAGGAGTCCTACCGTTGTCCAAATAGATCAAGAAAATGAATAAATAAACCTCGACACGTACGAGTATAGAGGATGAGAGAAAGAAAAAATCGATTAACCTCTTTCGTCTCTGATTCGTTTCTTGTTTAATTACATCATAAAAATCGAGGAGGCGTTGTAAAGTTGAAAATCATGCATAAAGGAACTTATAGTAATTAATATCACAAATCTTCCGTCTGTTTGTTATGAAAGGAAATTTGGCAAATCGTGTCAGAAACTTTGTAAAGAATTGTAGTACACTCTAATTAGCTAATGAAATGGAAGTGAGATATCAAAATATGGTTAAGTTTAAAGTTAAATTTGCGTTTTTCCTTCAAAATTCCGCATCAATACAAAGCAACTGGCTTAATTATTCCCTTGTTTATCCTGATATTCGAATTTTTGAAAAGCTGACGGAATGATAACATTTTCGAACTCAACACTAATATTCTGTTTCTAATTTCATCACGAATCTGTTTTATATTCGTTATTGTTCCCAGATACTCGAATTTTGAAACATTTTCATATTATATACAGAGTACAGTTGTGACTTTGTTGCTTATCTAGATTTAACATTGATGTAAAAAAAAACCTTTTAGCCCACACATGAGCGTACATCTCATTGGGAATGAAAATACCCTCTACTGTTCCTGCTCGATTAATAATTTAAATAATATTACTAAATAATTATTTTACTATAGTGGCAAGCGGGGAACTTCTTCACCTGCTAAGCGACTATCATCTTATCGAGACAGATTGCTTCATCGGGTTCGTTGATAAGTTCACAATATATAATTTAGCTCTGTGGTTTAACTCCCACATTAAGTTTCTGGTGATAGTTAATACTCCAATGAGCAGTGATTTGGTACAGATCAGGCAGGTATTTGGTTGGTAGGTTGTTTAAGGGCTACCGCACTCGTACGACTAAACAGTCGTTCTCTTGTTCTCTTTTGTTCCATATTTTTCTCTCTATGCTCGCCGAGTACAGAAGTCAGGAATGTTGCAAGAAGAGAATATCGAACAATTAATTGAAGAGGTCGAAGGACGCCCTGCTCTTTATGACAAGAAATTTAAAAGATTATGCAAACATCAATGTTAAAAGAGAACTTTGGCAAGAGATCGTAGAATATGACAGCATGTCTCCTTGGAGGGAATGAAGAACGACAAAGGAAAACCCGAAGCAATCTTGGGCCCGCGAATTTTGGGGCAAGGGATGCAGCATTATACTTACATAGTTCGGCGATCTTTGGGAATGGCGAACAGAAATGTTTATACAAGATCTGAGGATCTCACGGCGGTGAAGAGTTCGGTATTGGTCGCCAAGGTTGTAGAGCCGTCTGAACGCGTAGGAAGATTGATATTACATTTTCAAAGAAACATTCTGTCTCTGGCTTAAGGCACTGTGATGCCGGGATTAACGTGCAAGTTCACAGCGGCTTTACCACCGAGAAGACCAACGTCGGTTGAAATGTTTATGGTCTTCGAGCTCAAATGTTGTCTGTAAAGAGACAGGGACGAGACAAAATATTTGAGAACATAAAAGAAAAAGCTAGTACACAGAAAACACAAACACTGCCTAAAACGTTTTCTTCCCCAACGAAACAGAAGAAAACTACCGAGTATGGACTGTGAAGCCCCAAAATTATAAGAGATTGATGCTTTACGGATTTAACGAAATTTAAATTGTTCGTAATGTTTTCGATGTTGATTTGCAATCACAACGAATAAACCTTCTCATCTTTTTCATGGACATCGTCTTTTGACCTGTTCCGGGTAACGTTTGCTCCTTAAATTACGAGTGTTTCAACTTATGGCAGGACTCCTTTCATGGGCGTGGAATCAACAGGACAACACAACACACAAATACGAGGTCAAAAACCCTGCCTCGAGCGGGATTTGAACCAACGATCCCAATGCCCGAGCGATCAAGGCACTACCAGTCCCAGTGCTATAGCAAATTAGTTAATGAATCATTTGCATAAAGAGAAGAGAATACCTTGACCAGCAGAGCATATGATCAGCTTCTCAATGACTCTGCCCTATGGAGTCCTTTACTTGTTAAACATACAAAAGTACATTTTTGTACTATTTCCTCAGGAATAAAAAGCAATTTGGATTGATAATTCCTTGGTTGTGGTTGCCAGTTTGAATCCCATGTAACTGCAGTCTTCCACACCTTTAATATTACATGAGTAGGTTAGTTAGACTCTTCTGGTACTAGAGTCAGCGATGGACTTAAGCTATCTCAGGGTTGGATGTGGTGTTGATTAGTAGTAGAGATATCACCATGACCGACCACATATGAATTATAACCAGGTTTGTAATTAGAATGTCTCTTAAAACTGGATACACTTGCCTGCCTGTCACCACTAGAAGCCATACATTTCACCATACAAAACACTCACTCATTATTTATCAAGCATATAAATAAATGTTCATAATGTTTGATGAACTCCAGTTAACATGACTTAAATTTTACAGCACTTGCCTCAGTTTATGACTATGAAATATTTGTAACAGTTAATTTCTTAAAATTGGTTCTAAAATCCTTTTCTAGTCTTAAATTTGACTGATTTATGAAGACATTTCTTCTCTGTATAATATAGTCGGTGCGGGAGTTTTCGGCCGGTAGAGAAGCTAGCGGATGGGCCTACTCTGTGTACCTGAGGTGGCACGGTCAGTGCATTTCTTTTGTTTGGGCGTTCAGTCCGATAAGCTCCTCGGTGCAGTCCGCATTATACTATCGCAAAAGAGACTCGCTCCTAGCCTTCCCCTTGAAAATTCCACTGGCCAAAAACTACTGCACCGACTATAACTGGTAGGTGAACGTGTGCAAGTTTAAAAATCTTGGAGGATCACAGCTTCTGAAACACCCTTTTCAGTTTCTGATTTGATTTCTAATCCCCACAACTGACTGGCACATTTCAGTCAGTCCCTTCTAGTTATGAGGACTCACCCCTGAGAACTTCTCTGATTGGCTGGCTTCTAAAAATGTAAACTTTGGTCAGTTGAAAGCAAGCAGTTCCCTGCACTTTTTTCCCCTCATCCATTCTTCCTTTGGGTATAGTTTAGCCAGTCTGTCATGGTTGAATCAAATGGCAGGTCCTGACCTGCATGTACCAAGCCTGAAACGGCACCCTAAAAGCTTTAGCTCTGGTAAATACAAAAATGACAAGAGTTTAATTTTTAAGCCAGTAAAAGCTAAATTATAAAACCTGCAGGTATTTAAATTCTATAGCTGTCTTTTCCATTCATTCAAGTTAATGTTCGCTAACTAAATATCAAAATGAAATTGAGAAATATAATAATTCTTGAATACTGATGAGTTCGTTAACTGTCCTTGACCGCTTGGACTGTGCATTATATACACATTTCCGATGTAACTAAATATAAAACTGAAATTGGGATATCAAACAATCTTGAATACTGATGAGTTCATAACTGTGTTCTCGACTGCTTGGACTGTGGAATGTATACGATTTATAAACCTGTATCATAGTATCCAATAACATCGCATAGAAATGTATAACAACAGAAAGAAGCAAGATCCTACAAGAATTTCTACTCTTTCATTCAATATACAAATTATAATGTAATAAGTATGTAGTATACCAAAGGGTACCAGAAGACAGAAATCTTGAACGGATTTTTAATGTGGATGAAACTGCATTATATTGGAAAAAGATGCCATCCAGGACTTACATTGCCAAAGAAGAGAAGTCAATGCCTGGATTCAAAGCTGCAAAAGACAGGCTAACACTCTTGTTAGGGGCTAATGCAGCTGGTGATTGTAAGTTGAAGCCTATGCTCATTTATCACGCCGAGAATCCTAGGGCACTAAAGAATTATAGAAAAGCTAGCCTACCAGTTTGTTATAAATCCAATGCCAGAGCATGGATGACTGAAGCTTACTGCAAGGAAAAGAAGATTCCTTTCAAGATTTTACTTCTTTCTGATAATGACCCAGGACATCCTGGAGCTCTGATTGGCATGTGCAATCCTGAGATAAATGTTGTTTTCCTGCCTGCAAATACAACTTCATTACTGCAGCCTATGGACCAAGGTGTAATTGCTAACTTTAAAATGTATTATGAAAGGAGAACTTTCGCTAAGGCTATAAATGCCTTCGACAGTGATACACAGCAGCATCAAAAGAAAATAAATTAAAAGCATTTTGGAAAGGTTTCGCCATTCTAGATGGTATAAAAACTATTAGAGATGCATGGGATGAAGTTAATGAAAGTCCTCTTAAAGAATCTAATTCCAGAACTTATGGACAATTTTGAAGGATTTGCAAATCCAGTGGAGGAAGTGACTTCAAATGTTGTGGAAATGGCAAGGGAGTTGGAGTTGGAAGTAGATCCTGAGGATGTGGCAGAATTGCTTAGGTATCATGACCAGCCCTTATCTGATGAAGATCTTCTTCTGCTTGAAGAGCAAAGGAGGATTTCTCAAGAAGAGGAGTCTCATCCTGATGATAATTCTGATGTCCCGAGAGAAATGACAACCCAGGAATTGGAAGAATATATCAACCACATAGAAATTGGAAATGGTCACAAGTTTCTTGTCAGTGGCTACAGCAATGAAGCATTAATTCAAAAGTAATATTTGTACAGGAATAACAGGTGATGTCCTCATATCACCTTATGAGTTAGTGTTTCAACTCTTAGGGCGTCTTATTTACAACATAAAGCAGCTTCTGGACTCTCATCACACATGCTGATGGATGAGATGAATCAAATTGACTTTGCGGCCTCTGGCCAGATTTTACATCTACCATCTCCTACTGTGGGGACATCTGAAGGGCATAATTTACTTGGAAAGAGTCAACATCCACGACTAGCTTTGGCATTTGATTCAACGGCTGCGACAACAGCAGATTTTCAGTGTACCAGTGCCACAGATCAGTTACGCATTCAAAGTAACAGACGACATTTTCAGAAACTTTTGCCAATACTTTAAGAACATTAAAATAATGTTAAGGTATTTTTAGGAACAAAACTGAATATGCTTCTAATAAGGTGTTTTACGTGTCTCATTTGATTTACTGATGGCATTTGATTCAGTGGCTGGGACAACAGTAGCACATATGACTGGAATTTTTCATTGCACTACTATCAGGAATTCTTGGTGCATCAGTGGTCATTTATGCACTCAATGGAAGAAGCAGCATTTTCAGAAAAGAATTGGGGGGGGGGAGTCTTTTTAAAAGTTAAGATGCTGTTAAACTATGCTTAAGTACAAAAATGAATGTGCTTTTAATAAGCTGTTTTACTTGTCTCATTTGATTTACTGATGCTTCCAAGTCTCACTAATCAAGTGGTTGCAACCCTATGTTTATAATAATTTTTTGGGTTTCCTTTAAGAAAAAAACACAATCATTATGTTTGATGCATACAATTAAGAAGAACCAACTATTTGGTCATTTCTAATTATCTGCATAAGTTACCCAAAACACTGATCTAGAAGACATCCTATTGTTATATTTCAGAAGAATTATATAAGTGCTTAATGATGCACTTGCCAATAATTTGTGTCGTAAAAGAGCTTACCTTTTCCTCCATATATTTTTACAGTACCATCTTATGTACAAACTTTCATATAAAGTATCCTCAATGACTTTCATGTAGTCGGGTTATCTTTCATGAGGCAACTTTGTAGATTACAGACTTTTAAAATACTGTTGTATCCCGAAGGATGGTGATGGGATACGCGAGCGCAGACCGAGCGGAAGTCTGTTGATTGGGTGCGATGGACACTTAAGAATTGATATTGAAGCCCACTTGTAGCAACACAGTAGAGATATATATAGTTGTTTATTGAAATAAAATTACACCAGTTTATAGTAGCTCGAGTCAGTAAACTATGGAGCAAGACTGTGTTAGGCGTGATGCAGAGTAGAACGCAACGTTCGGTAGTAAATTCCGGTGTAGTCCGCGTTGTGTTTACAGACAGTGGGTTATAAAGGGGATTAAAAGTGCGTCCTGTGCCGGAGGGGCAAATACTCATCAACAGGTGCCGGGGTTTACCGTAGGGTGACACTTAATTAGAGACGCGCGGGGTATTAGTATAATCGGATTTTTGTATAGCAATCTTCTTATCATTTTGATGATTCATTATCTCCACAGTCTGGCCTGTAGCTCACTGACCCTTACAATATGTTGACAATTACAAGTATATATTAATAATAAGAACTAAAAGTATCAAACAATACATGAGGTCATACACAATTACATGTGTGAAGGGTCGATATATGACAAGAGGGTCCACGCTGTCACCGGTCTTCACGATTTGGTCGTCGCAGTCAAGGATCCAGCGTCTCATCACAACTACTATTGCTGTATAACCATCTTCATTTTAATATCACGTAATAAAAGAATCTTTATATAGTCGATTGAAGATTAAACGCTGCCCTACTCAATAGCTCCAAGGCCACCAGATAAGTTTGCATCCGCCCGGCAGATCTACAGTTCGTATCCTGACGCGGGGAGTCAAGGGCCCAACGATTCCCTGCCAGGGATACGACAACTCATTCAGCTCGATCTTGAATGGAACACAAGTCTGAGCCAGATACTGGCGATAAAGTGCAATGGTGGTTCCCCGAAACAAAGTACAAATGATGGCTGTCTTCTGGGCTTTTGTGCCATGCGGTCTGGTTGAAGTTTACCGACGTTTCAGAGGCGCTTCCTGCCTCCATCATCAGGGCGATTGCTCTTCTGACAGGTCGATAAGCGTGTACCACACAACAGCCCGGAAGAAAGCCGTCTTTAGACTCGCCGAATTGTGAACTTAAAATGCCATTATTTGCGAACAACGAACTTCCAGCAAGACAAAACTCGTACGACGTAACGCGTGATTTCGTTCGGGTTCTAGGCTTGTTAAGTTTCGATTGTGGTTGTCTGCTTGCTTGTTAGTCACGAAGGGCCGCCATCTTGCCTTCTTGAAACATGATTCATGGCGCCACTGCGGTGACCCCTCGAAACTTGATTAGTCAGTAAATCACTTCCTTTTTTTCATCTGACAATTCTAACAAAAATAAAATATATTAAAACTCTGTTATTCTGGGCCTTAATTGAAGCAATTTAATGCACGGAATAATATGTTTTTAATATGTTGGTAACATTCTCACTAAAAGTTCAATTTTCGTCGCCTCATGTAACGCAGTATTGAGTGTTCGGGTTTTATTAAAGATGAAGTTCTTTTACTGATTTAACAGCTGTTAGCTTCGGAGGAGCGAATCTCCTGCGTGGAGATGTTTAATGCAATGACATCACTTCATCATCCTGTGATTGTTTCTTACTTATACATCAACGAAAAGTAGAAAAGTATCTTCAGATCTACGAAGTAAATCTTCCTGGTCGTATCAGAAATTTAATGCGATTTGCTTGTATTTATGGCCACCGGAAAGTCCTCGGGAATAGCTCGTTCGAATTCTTTGTCCAGCGGCGTCTGAGTTTCGTCGCAAGACTGCAAACGAAATTGCATTTCCTGTTAAATACGGAAAGATGCAAAATTTCCCCTCGTCTCTGCTTAGGCCTTTCGTCCGCAGAGACGAGGAGTCGCTCGTTTCTGAGGCTGAGTGAGAACCTCGTACCTGAGGAGAAGACGAAGTCCAGAGGTTTCTGACTCGTCCTTTATTAAATGACAGGCCTCTTGGACATCAAGTAATTAATTATATATATATATATATATAATTTACGTCAGTAAATACCATAACAACAGAAGTCCGAAATAAAATAAAGTTGTCCACATTTCATGTCACGCGCAGTTATTTTCGTACGATGAACCGTTTTTAAGAACTCTATTCAAATTTGACTTCATCATCAGTTAAATAACGGGTTACGTCACGAATTATAATTAAATTTGGTGTGACGTCACACAGTTTCGGAACTTCGACACAAGGAAAGGCGCCTGCTATCTTCTGTCCCCTAAGCTGATACAGCGATTCGACGATGCGACAACCAACACCTTCCACAAGTAAAGTTTTGCGTCTGGTGTAAGTTCATCGCCCACGGGGTCTCAGACACCCAGAGTCTGAAAACTTGTACTGAAGTTGCATAACCATTCCATTATTGAGGGCAAACCACACGACTCTTCCCAAACAAAAGAAGTTCGAATGGAGAATGGTGACTCAAGGGAACAAGTACAGACAAAGATAAAATTTACTAACAATCCTACTAGTATCATAAAACCACATATCAAGTCTTCCATTTCATTCTACTAAAAACACAGCGTTTTTCTGTATGGTCCGATGTGATTGTAATTTCTCCTCAAAATTATTTTAAATTAGGAAATTAATGATCCGGAAAGGACTCCATATTGGAATAAGGAAAAGGGTGAAGATGGCTGCCTTCTGGGTTTTGCTCTGAAACGTCGGTAAACGTCTACCAGATTACACGGCTCAACAATTCAGAAGACAGTCACCTTCAGACTTACCGCCGTAAAAACCTCATATTCTACAGAGGAAAGAGTTGTTATTTCTTTGTCACAAAATTCACAAAATACACAAACATACCTATATTAGGCATTATAAATTCTTACCCCAGCAAATTCTTGGCTTAAATTCACGCTTTCTTTCGGCGTCAGGACTTTCATTACTGTTCGGTGGTAATGGTATTTCCGCGGAAGCTATGCTATTGAAACTTTGTGCCGTGATCCGTAACGCAGCTTTGACACGCATGCGCAAAACATTTCATTACGTTCTATAAAAACGATTTCTTTCCTCTGGTCTAGTACACGCATATGTCCCTTTGACCAAGTATGGAGCGTGATCCTGAACTGGGTATTTATGGTAACTAACATCAGGACTGTGCAGTCGGAGTCGGTAAAAATGAACCGACTCCGACTCGAACATCGAAATAAAATCTTAATACCACATTCGTTAACATTTGAGACGCCGACGGCCTCACGCTTAGGGAGATTCAATGACGCGTTGAGCCAAAAAGTAGCCTGATGATTCACGAGGTGGTGATTAAATATCTTATGGTACCATTTACCATTTTAGTAGGGTTACCATTATTAATACATACTGAGGTTTTATTAAGGAATCGGAGGTTTTAGTTCTGACTCCACAGCCCTGATTAATATGGTACCTCAAGAACATACGTTTTGCTAATACCAAATTCCAAAGACAAATGAAATCAAGGCATGTCTTATACATTTTTTATCCGATGCTGTGCACAAGGCCCAATAAATATGCCTATAATAATTCTCAGAACTGATACGAAGTGCTTTGTGTTTTAGGAATGAAGCAGAAATTTCTTGCATTTATAAAGACTAACAAGAGAGGGACCATATCCAGTGACATAAAATTCATCCTGTCCTTTATCTTCCTCTTCATAATGATAATAGGTAAGTAAATTTTGACTCACATGATATTACCAGGAGTACAGTGTAACTGATACTCAGACAGGGTGCTACTACCAAGAGTGTTTAATAAAACAGGTACTTGTACTGCCTACAAAGTCAAGTCCTATTTTCGTTTTTATGTTATTATGTACAAATAGGATCATTTACCCACTCTCATTACGTAACATTAGCACCTCGTGAGCGCTGCTTTATCAGAATGTGGATTTAACAGGAAAGGAAAACTGTAGTCAAATTTGGAATTCATAACTAACTAGATGGCTTAGGGAACCCGAAGGTTCATCACCGAATTAACCAAAGCCCTCCACCGGACCCTGTCCTTGGCCAACAAAATCCAATCTCCTTCAACTCCTATCTCCCATAGATCCCGCCTGAGATTATCCTCCCATCTACGTCTAGGTCTCCCCAGCGGTCTCTTCCCCTCAGGCTTCCCAAATAGTGGACCCAACCAACCAGATGGCTTACGGAACCCGAAGGTTCATCACCGAATTAACCAAAGCCCTCCACCGGACCCTGTCCTGGGCCAACAAAATCCAATCTCCTTCAACTCCTATCTCCCATAGATCCCGCCTGAGATTATCCTCCCATCTACGTCTAGGTCTCCCCAGAGGTCTCTTCCCTCAGGCTTCCCAACCAGTACCCGGTGCACACCTCTTGTCCCATCCATGGGCACTACATGCCCCGCCCATCTCATTCTTCTCGACTTAATCACCCTGACAATGCTTTGGAGGAGTACAAATTTTTAAGCTCGTCATTATGCAGTTTTCTCCATGTCCCATCGTCTTCTCTCCTAGCCCCAAATAGTGGAATATATAAACATTAAAACAAATTCTCTGTGATTTGGAAAGTTCACTCATCTTGATATTCATTTAATTAAGATACATATGAACCCTTGTTTAACTAAACAATGGTACAAATACTACATGTTGCAGAATCATAAATTCCATTGTCGATAAAGTTAATTAATAGTGCAGTTGTTAATTCTATAGGGATTACGATGTTTTTCTTTTCTATTAATACATAAGACAAATAATTTCCCAAATGAAAGTTATAGACCTTCACGAGTTACATATTTTACACCAGTTTCTCTAAGCCTTCTTTGAGAAATGTGATTTCCTGGTAACCATTTAGACATGCCATGTGTTGTATTTGCCACAGCCCGGAATTATGAAAAAGATTCAGTGCATGTATTCCAATTGAAAAAGTGAGAAAGTTATAATTTTATTTAAACTTTGATTAAAGTCTGTAATTTTTTAAATAACACGCTTCTTTTAATTTCTCTGTCATCACCTGTGATCTAAGTTCTACCACTGGAATTGTTTATATTTCTTCGAAATATCACTTTATTTTTTCAGGAACATTGGGGATTTCACCCAACATGTGGTATTGGTGCAGAAACCATCTTAATGATTCGTTTATGTATGCTACGTTTCGTGATTGTGTTGCAGAAAGAACCTTCAAAAACTTATCAACCATAACTCAATTCTGGAAGGTATGAATTTAAGATAAATTTGCGATTGGGACATACATAAATGCTGTAATGTGGAGATAATGAAATGATTTAAGAAACTCATATGCTAATTAAGTGATTAAGCAGTCGACAACATTCATATAAAAAAGTTACCCAACTGTAAAAGAAGTTTTCTATTATGGCACGAGAAGGTTAATTAACATCACTTTCAAGTCAGTATTCATACAACTAAATCTGACCTGGTGCTCCCAACTGGTCTCTTTCTATGAAATCTTCAAAATAAAATTGTGTATGAATTCCATCTTTCCGCATACTTTTTGTATGGCCTGCCAATCTCAGTCTTCCAGATTTAATCTCCCTGACAGCATTATGCAACACTTCCTATTTTTAGAATACTTTTTCTATCTTGCTGCAAATAAATAGTATAAATTTTAATCTTCATTTTTTGGGAAGACGTCATGAAGGTAACGCCCTTGTTTAGTGTCTGTGGCTTATTATTACAAATATTAACAACTGCTGTCTATCTTCAAGATGAAATAAATAGCACATTTTATTAGGGATTGAAATTTTTTGATATTAAACACCCAGCACTGTTTGCATGAGGAAACCATGTAATGCGAAATGGATAGGAAAGATAATGTTCAAGAAACGTGTTCATAATTTTGATTGAAAAATTCAAAGAAAGAGCCCACTTGGAAAACACTGGCAGATATAAAAGAACAGCATTAAAATGGGTCTTGGAAACAGGCAGGCTTTTCTCAGCATCACAACATTTACTTAAAAAGATCATTGATCATCTGAGTACCTGCAAATTAACTACTCTAAGAATATTATGTATCATAAAGATTTAGTGACTGATAGTTCATATTTAGATAATGGTTTCGAATGCACTGCATTTTACAGTCTATATTTAACTTTTATGATCTTTGTTTTTACACGCGATTAATTACTTTTGTTTTTAGTTCGCAGAAACTGTAATGATCGACAGTATATACGGGAAATCCGAAAATGATACACATCAAGCATTTGTGTTGCAAGATAGTAAGCTGGTTGGAGCACCTCGCCTACGACAGGTTTGTAAATTTTCCTTTATAACAAAACATTTTGAGTGAAATAAAGTTAGAATTCTATTGATAATTTATGATTTATAAGTTATCTGATTTATTTATTTGCGAATACAAGAAACATTATAGAGAATTCAGTAATTAAAAGATACATTCATATGAACTGTTTCATCATACAGCATTTCTAATGAATAGGTGTCACGTTAATAAGGCATAGGACTTTTGTGTGTATTGGAGTAACTATAATGAAAGTAATACTTTGATGTCTACAGGTGAGAGTGAGAAATGATTCGTGCGTAGTACGTCGAGCATTGAATCGATCAATCGAATTATGTTATGAATTATATTCACGTTGGTACGAAGATACAAAACCATTTGGGCCAGGAAACGGGACAGCGTAAGTTTTCAATTAACATTTCAGCAGACAACTTTATTGATATAAATAAAAATATTCCCTTTATGTTTATAGGAAAACATATGAAAGATATGGTAAACACCACACAGCTGCCTCTACGAAAGTGCTTGAGGAATTGGTACTGTTATTAGCAGATACATTTTGTCCGTGTGGTACAACATAGTTTTCTGATTTCTTTAGGACTTCTTCAAGAAAGTAATATTATGGTGTGTGTGTATTGCAAGGATAAACCATTCTTCCTTACTTTTTTGAATAACCTCTAAACGCAGATGTACACAACCAGAACTCATATTTCTGTGTTTGTATATTAGAATTAAAACAAGCAGACTAATTTACTTTAGTTTGATACATTGACGATCCATTCTTTAAGTGCCTGAGCACTGCGAGTCCTAATTTTTCGTTGGCTTTGATCTATGGACATTCGGTAGGACTCCTTGGTCTAGGGATCGGCCCGTCGCAAGGAATCTACCTGTACACAGGTCAGCACAACACAGAAAAACGCGGACAAACATCCATGGCTTGAGTGGGATTTGAACCCACGGTCCCAGTGACCAAGCTGCACAAGATCCTCGCCTAAGACAACGCGGCCACTTCGACGACTTGCAGACTAATTTACTGTTTCTGACTACAGGTGGACTTATTCCACTGCAGAAGAACTGGGTGGTTCCAGTCATCAGGGAAAATTTTCCTTGTATAGTGGCGGAGGATATTATGAAGATCTGTCACTCAACCGTAGCGAAACCATTGAGAAATTGCTTACCTTGAAGAATAATCAGTGGGTTACAGGAAGAACAAGAGCCATTTTCATTGACCTAATGGTCTATAATGCAAATGTCGATGCAATCTTCATTGTGAAGTAAGTTCTCACTTTCAAATTCTTATCTTTATCACAGATATTTATATTTTCTGTGTAATGTACTTTGCCATCAGGAGGGTCCAGGAGAATCAAGTGGGGCTGGAAATGTTAGGTCTGCAATCAGGTGTTGTCTGCATCAATTTACTTGGCATCTGCTCTCAATAGAAGTGATTTTGGTTCAGCTTGATATTGGGAAACCTGAGGGGAAGAGACTGCTGGGGAGACCTAGACGTAGATGGGAGGATAATATCAGGGGGGGGTCTGTGGGAGATAGGAGTTGAAGGAGACTGCATTTTGTTGGCCCAGGACAGGGTCCGGTGGAGGGCTTTAGTTAATTCGGTGATGAACCTTCTGGTTCAGTCAGCCATCTAGTTAATTAACATGGCCCCAATTTACAAAATGCTTCTTGACTGGTATATTGTTGCCCCATTGCTACATATCTGTGGTACATACACTGCTTATTTCAATGAGGAATGTTATTTTGGACAGTAGCACTTATCAATAAAAATAATAATTATTATCCGTGGCGTAACAGCTCCAGAGAGCCAAAGTCGACTAGCTTTACTGCTGGCCTCATGTTCACATGCCTAAGCAGAGGTGAACGATCATCCAACCAGATATAGGGTGACGTGTGGTCAGCACGACGAACCCCCAGCCATTGCTAGCTTTCCTGACCGGATTACGCTACTCATTGTAGCTCCCCAATTTCCTCACGATGCTGGGTTGACACCGGTCCCATACATGGCGCGAGACGTAGCATTTATCAGGGTATGGAAAAAGGATGTCATACTAACTTTACCCCCTCGTGGACCCAAATCTGCTATAAACCAAGTTAAATGACACAGACAGTGTAAGTTGGAATTATGTTAATTTGAGTGAGAGTATAAATACAATGAAGAATCTCTTATAGGCTGTTTACAGGCTAACAAAGAAACTAGTTTACAAGTCAATATAAATACATATAAAACAGCTCATAAAAGAATGTGCAACACAGTCACAATTATGTTGAATATCTTTAATATTAACCATTTTATGCATCCTTTCGATAAACTCGCATAACAGGACGATCATGCCTATCCACGTATTAACATCAAAAATCTGGCAAATTAAATTTGAGATTTGTATCACATGACATAACTTCTGTTTTTCATGAACATCATATCAAATGCTATACCAGTTTTCCAAAAATGGCTCACCGTACGAAAATAATGATACAGAACATAAAATATAGATCTCAATCAGGTCTACAATTTTAATTTTAAACATTTTTGAATACAGTAAATATTTAATTAAAAACAAGGCAAAACAAATTATGACAATAAATAAATATGGTGTGAAATTTCCTGCCATTGGTCTCCAGTGAATGAACATGAAGACCAATGGGGTCCTGCAATATTACTAAAAAAAATCAGCCCCATGAAACGAAGTCTCTCTTGATAAAGTAATAGTTTCTTAGCTTGTCAGGAAATTCCCTGGAATTTCTGGAACACTGTGTATTTTTCATTTATTAAATTATCTTAAGCCCCTTATTATATATGGGCCTGAATACATGCATGTGCATTATAACTAAAACATATCTTGTTAGTGCCACCCAAGAGTACAGCTTAACCAATTGGTGATTACTGAACTTCTTATGTCTTTATTAACAGGCTTGTTTTTGAGAACGAACCAACAGAAGGAATTGTAACAGCATACTTGCTCTTTCCAGTGAAACTCCATCGACTTGTGACCGTGTATGACTACTTTGTTACAGTCTGTGAATGCATGTTCGTAGCATTCATATTTTTCTACACCATAAAATGGATAATGGATTTTGTGGTCTTAAAGGGAAAATACGAGGATAGTGCATTTGATGTTATATTGCTGCCCATTCTTCTGGTGAGATTCTCTACTCTGACTTGAGATAATATAGATTAAATAAAAGTAGTATTGCCTTGAACCATTTCATATTCACATTAATAGTTAAGATACAAGAAGTATATTTCTAAGACGGTCATTGGTGTTTGAAAGACGTGATTTGCAAACTACGTAAGACACCTGTTCTGATATTATAGATGTCACTTTGTTTCCATGGTCTCTCACTCTGATGGAATAACACAGATTACAGGCGTTTGAGAATAGGTAATTGGGGAAGAGTTGAAGGGGAATGGATTTTGTTGGTCCGGGACAGTGTCCGGTGGAGGGCTTTGGTTAATTTGGTGATGAACCTTCGGGTTCCATAAGCCATCTAGCTAGTTAGTTAGTTATTAAACTTTGCTGCTTCCTACCCAATTTCTTTTCATCCTGTTCATTGTTCAGTTACTCATGCTTTTGGATAAGTTAAATAACAATTAAAGCACCTACAGGGTAATTTTTTAATTGGTAATTCTGCTTGAATGAAGTCTAATGCACTTAATTCTTTCAGTGATTGTAATTTTATCCTTGTGTTTTTTGTCCCCAGGTTTTTAGCTATTATGCTATATGCTTCAGAATCTGTAGCTACGTGGTTATTGAACCACAAATACTTCAAAATATTTCAGAGGAGAAGTTGGGAAACTTTGACTTAACTCGTTCTTTTCGAGGAATTTACAACGTTTCAACTAGTTTTCTGTTACTTATAGCTTGGCCCCAACTTTTCAAATACACCAATTCCGAATACGTCTCGTCGCTTGTCAAGGTAAGTGTATATCTAATTTTGATATCCTGCAGTTTCGGTATCATTTATAATTGATGCTGATTTATAAAGTTGTTGCCAGATTCTAATGAGATGATACTGATGTAACGTCATAAACATAATGCTATTTCATGCCTTTGTTTTTATTTTACAGTGCTGGAAGGAGATTGCTACAATTTCAGTTGTCGTCCTCATTATTATTACCACATGCCTTCATATCATGTACTGCCATTATTGTAGTTATTACTAGAGCAAAGTGCTCCTTTCGTCTATCAAGGTCATTCGGCAAAAAAGTGTAACGAAGACAGGTCACAAGAATGTGTAAGTTGAATATCAACAAATAAACAACAATGGTTACCTAGGATTCGTCATCTGTTTACTCGGCATACAATGAAAGGAAGGGGGTTAAAACACTTGACCAACCCCCCTTCTGGGACCCACCCAGCCTCCTGTCGAATGGGTACCAGGATCCTTTCCTGGGGGTAAAGCACGGCCGGAGCGTGATGCTGACCACTCACCACCATCTGGTGCTGAGGTCAAGAAAGAGTAGGAGGTATATCTCCGCTCCCTCCAAGTGCCTGCATAGGCATTTAGCAGGATGCTTTACTGTTTTACTTTCATTGTAGTAGTGGGCAAGGCCATGGTCTAGGCAACACAGAGTTTTCCTCCGGGGGTTTCTCCGTGGCATCCCAACAATTACTCCATTCACATACAGGAGAAGGCAATGGCAAACCACTTCTGGATCATCTGCCAAGAACGTATATGAACAGGTCCCAGTCCGAGAAAAGGATGGAAGGATCCTGTTCATATGGACCTGTCGTCAGACAGAACACTAAATAAAAAATAGTGGCCACATGGGCGCTGGGACCGTGGTTCAAATCCCACTCAAGCCATTGATGTTGGTCTGTGTTTCTTTTGTGTTGTGTTGTCGTGTGTATAGGTAGAGGCCTTGCGACGGGCCGATCCGTCGTCCAAGGATTCCAACCGAATGTCTAAAGATCAAGCCAACGAAAAGTTGGGACACCCAGTGCTCAGTGTTCAGGCACTGGAAGAACAGGGCGTATCCAGTACCCCAGTATTGTAGTACAAGTGTGTTTCTATGTATAAATGTGTATAATGATAGGATGTCATGTAGGATTTGAGGTTTTCACAGCGGTGAGTATGAATTGCCCTTTTGACGGAGGCACCATGACCTCTGAAACATTGGTGGACATCTACCAAACTACGCGGCGCAACAACCCAGAAGACAGAAATCTTCATTGGATACTATCTTATCTGATTAAACAAACTATGTATCCAGAAATGTTCAACATCGACAGTTTACACTAGTGTGAAGGTGTGTATGAGAAAAATTGACCTTGAATTATTTAACCCTAAGAAAATTGTCAAAAATTTATACAAATGCAAGCAAATTCTGCATGCATGTGACTCCTCTAAGTTATATCTTCAGGTCACACTAACATCCTACTGTCTACCGGCCAGGATAAAATCCCTGCCATGTTTCCTATCATGTGGACTCGAGGGCTGCTATTGGTGGGAAGTGTGACACGCCAGAGTTTTACAGTATTACACACAGACTGAAAACATCAAGCAGTTGAGAGTAGCGTGTAGTGAGTGCACCTCTAATGTGTTCTGTGGGTGTTGTGATAATATTCTAGATTAAATCACTATGCCTCTGTGAGGTAATCTTAAAGCTATACACATTAGAACACATGAAAGCCTGTCGTCTGTTGTTCGTTCAGTGGTTGTGGAACGAATGCTTTTAAGATGGCTAGTAGCAACTCGTCACTCACCGCGAAATCTTGCGCATGCGCGTATATCAAATTACTAGCAGGGATTTTATCCTGGTCGGTGGACAGTAGATTCAACATCCTGACAATAATAATTAGGACTACTTATCCCTGAGACTTTGAATCTGCCAAGCTCCACTGACCACTTATTAGGATTTGACTCCAAAGCGTAAACCAAGTTTTAACATTGACAACACATCATTTCACTCTTACAATAACAAACAGCTTGTGCTTGCACAAAAGAAAATTTAAAAAATAAACAATAATAAATTACAATAAATGTAGTGGTGACCAATTAGTATAACCAATTGCAATTCTAGTACCCTCAATAATTTACTGATTCTTTCTTTAATCACGGGTTAAAGATTTCCGATAATTTTCGACGGCGGTCTCAACACTTTGAAAAATTGATATAAAAACTGCAATATGAAAGGAAGAATGGCAGGGAAGATAAGAATCCAGATAATGACAAATACAGGGTGAGTCAGAAGTATTAATTTATTTACTGCAATTGGGTTTGCACCCGGTGACAGTGGTCCTTACAATACACAATTACATATATTTACAAGCCTCGTGTGCGTGTTCCAGGATCAAAAATAAGAAAAATGTTCCTATGAACATGGGGTCGCAAATATTTCATTTTCGAGATAATATCCAAAAATAAGTTTCAATGAATTGACTTTATATCAAAGTGAATCCAGCTTCCAGCAAAGATTTTCAATTAACGTTTGGGCAGGAATTGTTAGCGACATGCTTATTGGTCCACACATGCTTCCATTGCGTCGAAGAGGACTTTCATATCGGTGATTCTTAAGAAGACACTTGCCACGTCTCCTTCAAGATGTACCACTGAATACAAGAAGACAAATGTGGTTTATGCACAACGGAGCCCCAGCACAGTTCTCCCGTCGCGTCAGATATCTCAATGAACAGTCCCCTCAGCGACAGATTGGACACGGTGGCCCAGGGGCATGGCCATCGAGGTCACTGGACCTGACTCCATTGGACTTTTATTTGTATGGTCCCTTGAAGTCTGTCGTTTATGCAACACCCAAAAACAATGAAGACGACTTATGGGAATGTGTGCAGAATGCATGCCAGATGATTCGAGGAAACCCTGGTGTGTACGAACGAATACGTCAGTCTTGTGTACGTTGTGCTCAGGCATGTGTGAAAATGGAGGACCAACATTTGAGCATCTGTTGTAAAGAAACATCCTTGTCCTTATTCGTACTTGGCAATAAAGTCATTCATTGAAACTTATTTTTGGCTATCATTTTGAAAACGAAACATTTGCGCCCACATGTTCATAGGGACATTTTTCTTATTTTTGATCCTGGAACACGCACACAAAGTTTGTAAACATACTTCTGACTCACCTTGTATGCATACAAAGTAATTACGGAACTTTTACCAAAGTAAATTTAAAAATATTATTCTCTAGTTAATTCTGATTTAGTGCAGATTTTTATATGTATTTATTTATTAACTTACTGCAGTAATATTCATTTATCTCTTCAGAGAGAATTTCAATGTGAAGACAAAATGTTCTTGATTAAAAATTTTGATTACACTACAGAACACTACTAAAATTAAATTTGCAAGAACTTATTTTGATATGTTAGTCTGTAGCTTTATTTTGCATGTTTGTCCATTGATATTGTTTAGGCTTATAAAAATGTGTTTATGTGTAATAAAATCATGTGTTTACAAAGGACTGCTATATTTTTACTTATTGGTGTGTAGCAAATGAAAATGTTCTGACAATAGTCGTCAAGTTTCGGAATACAGTAGGGCACTGCACATACGGTGGGTTAGGGACCAGACCCCGCCGAACAGCGGATCTTTGCCTTTTTCACTTGAAAATGCATATCAAAGCCTAATAAGATGTTTACACTATCATATAGTAAGTGCACAATAGTGCTAGGAATAAGAAAATGATATGAAAGTAAAATGAATATCAGTAGTACACACATTGCGTACCTTAAAATATTTTCGTCTTCAGTTTATAGTGATTGGTGAATATAAATTTGAAAATTGATATGTTTATAGTAGGAAGGATGAAGGAGATGGCTCATCTTCATCATCTGACTCTTCAACGAATCTTATTTGTTTCGGTGATAGTTCGGAAGCTCTAGCAGGGGTTTACTTTAGAATTTCTATCGAAATTTGGGTCTATTCTCTCATAACCTGCTATTCCAATTTCTATGTGGTTGATATATTCTTGCAATTCCTTGGTTGTCATTTCTCTCGGGACATCAGAATT